CTATACTGGCTACAGAATAATAATATCAGATCAGTCTCTCTTTTCTTTTCTTTCTCTTTCTCTTCTTCTTCTTTCTCTTTAAAGCTAATATTAATGATTTTTCTCTTTCTTTCTTTTTATTTACTGCTCTTTAATATTCTTCTGTATAATGAATTGTACTGTCATAATAAGTTATATTAAGAGATGAGTGCTTGCAGAATACTACTCTGGTGCATATTATTTACTAACAAGGTATTAGTTTTCTCTGTATGCATTTATTTTACACAGCTGGAGAGAAGTGACACAAGACTGTATTAAAAGAATGAGCTCTGAAGAAGAGTAATTAGTGTAAAGCTAATAAAGATGTTGATCTGGCTAACTTTAATTAGAAGAATCTCTGTCCCTGCTTTTCTGTTCAAAATTAAAAGACCAGCACTTGTATATCAAAAAGTAATAATTTTTGATAATGGTCTTGATACTAATTAATGAAAATAGATATTATCAAGAAAATCTGCTACTTTCAAAGCTCTACTGAGCTAATCTTTCTGATGACTCTGTTTTAGTAATTAATTCAGAAAATTACTTTGTTCTGTTATCAAGAACATGAATATTGCTGACAATATACTGCTATTAAGTTATTTCAGAAAATAGCTGAAGCAATCTTGTATACTTTATTTAAGTATAAGTTATTATTAACAATGGCACTAATAATTATACTAAGTAATATAGACTTTATTATGGCAATGATGCACTGTAAGTGTATTATAATTAATACTGATAATATGAAGCTTGTGCTTGGCATTAGTGCCAAGATTAGATTAAACTATTTTGATCTAATTAATATATCTGATTGTTCTGTCTCTGCTATTATTATCTGCCATCTGTATGCTGCTCTTATTCTGTTAACTACTGCTGCTGCTGCTCTACTATTACTGTTACTACTTATTACTGTCTCTCTATCTTTCTCTAGTGCTGTCAGGGTCTTTGCCTGTCAAATAGTAAGTATTAAAGCCTCTGTCTGATTCACAAAGCCAGTTCTAGAGAAGCAGAAGAAGAAGAAGAAGAAGAAGAAGTAAAAAAAGAAGAAGAAGAAAGAGAATAATAATAATAATAATAAAGATGATAATGATGATAATAAACTTGTTATTTAAATAGTTTCTGATTATTTGCTAGCTTTAGTTATTAATTAATATTAATACTTTGTTTCTTTTGAGTTTTGATAATCAAATTAATTTTTTTAAAAGTTCTGCCTTCATCAAAAAAGTAATAAAATTTAGTAATGATTCACACAAAATTTGATCAGTTTGACTCTTCTCTATAAATTTGACACAATAGAATCAGGAAATTTGATCTTATTCTGATTCCAATATAAATCTGACTGAAATGAGGAATGAGAGTCTATCTTTTCTGCTGAAATAGAATATAGAACATAATTTTCTATTTGAGAATGGGACCAGGAAATAATTTATAGAATAGAAATAGGAACAGGATCTCAAGCTTTTGAGTGAGATGGGACATGAAACTGAGATTTCATATTTAAGATCCCAGCTGTTTCTAAATGCAGAACTAGGACCAGCTTCAATGGAAAATGGGATCCCATCCCAGTCCTGAATACCAGTCTAGTGTGGAGAATAGAAAGAAGGATACTTGAAGTGGTAGATAAGTAATATATCTGGAACATCATCTTCAGGCAGTCAAGATATTGTGTAAAAATTGCTAGAATAGGTAATAAACAGGGCTTCAAATATTAACTGATATAAACTTATTTTCTTGTAGAATTCTTGCTAATCAACAGTGGTTCTTTGACTATCTGATTTCTATAAGAGTTGCCATACAAACATGGTGCAATGCTTATTCTTGATATTATTAAGGACTAGCAGAATTTTTGCATACAACAAATATCTTTCTTACTACTTAATTTATATTTATCTTTACTATACTGTTAATGTATATTCTTTCTGCACTCTTACTATCTACTAATTTACTTACTTTAATAATCTTGTTCACTTCAGTATCTTTCAGCTTAATTCTTTTCTTAGTTCTGAAATCTAGCTAAAACTCTTCTTCTTTAGTTAATTAATATTCTTTATTATTGCTACTATCTTGCTTCTGTATTGCTTGTACTTTTTGGAATAATTATAGATAATAGCTGCTGTCTTTTCTGTCTTGATAAATAAAGCAGTTATTTTTATAGTAAAAGCTTCAATAAATTGTAGCATAGTCTGGATAATTTATATTATTATTATTATTATTATTATTATTATTATTCTTATTATTCATTATACTTTTATGTAGTAGTTAGTAACTATAAAGACTATTTACTAGCTTTTCTGTTAAGATTTACTTAGTATATATTGTAAAAATCAAAAAATAAGAAAAATTAAAATATTTCAAGATTAAGATATTCTTTTTCTATAAAAGTCATTTAACAGATAGTAGCTAATATTAATTTCAAGAAAAAAAATAAATATTTTTATAGCAATGTAATACAAATAAAAAGATAATAAAATTAGTTATTTGAAAAAGTTATTATCTAGTAGCTATTCTAGTATATTTCAGAAATAAAATCAGTTATTTTAGACTAATTAAGTTTCAAAAATAAAATAAAAGACAGTTGAAAAATACTAAGTTCTTGTTAAATTTTTCTTTTTTCAGTTTGATAGATTAAATAATCTAATGATAAATACTTTGAATTTTCAATATAATTACACTAATGTATTTTACAAGCAAGTGGGATAATCAAGCAAGCAGAACATCAAAATACACATACAAATCTCAATTTTTTGCTCTTTTATATCTTAACAAGTCTATATCTGATCATTATAAAATAAATAAGATATTATACAGATGTAATAAACTTTGTAAATTATAAAAATTATTTAAATATAATAATTATTTCTTAAGTTATAGTATTTTATTATTTTTTTACTAGCATGTATTAAAGTATCTTTACAAATAATAGAGTTAAATAAATTAAATTAATAACACTATTTATTAAGTATCTATATACTCTATATTGAAATTTTAAAGTTTATATTTAACAATATTGTTGAGATATAAGAGAGCAAAAAGTTGAAATTTGTATATATATTTTGATATTCTACTTACTTAGTTGTCCTGCTTAGTTGTGAAATATGTTAATATAATTCACAAGTGAGTGAAATCTGCAAGCAAGTAAAAGAGAAAATTAAGGCATCTCAATTAATTAAAATTTAATTTGAAATATCTATGCTTAACAACTTCTAAATAGGTTAAATTATATTGCAATAAAACTGTGACAGCTTCTTCTTGTATGGCCTAAAATATAGTAGCTTGTATATTTTAGTAGTATCTGTAAATATGATGCAGGCTCTGAGATTGCAGACTTAGAGAGTTGAGTGACTGACTGTTTAATAAATTAAGCAGATAGAATAGCAAGCTTAGAAATATCTTTCTTAGTTAGATCTTCTTCATATTGAATTCAGTACTTAGATCTTGTATATCTTTACTTTTTTTTTCATTTACAGCAAATATATTCTGATATTTATAATAGTGGTATTAATTATTTTATATTTACAAGTCTTGATAATTTGGTCAAATTCTTTTATTAAGCTCTAGATAAGCTCTCAAGCCACTGCTTTATAAGATTCTTGATCTTATTCACCTGCCTATACAACTGCTAGAGACTGCTACTTGATATTTGTAAAATTCAGAATAATTAAAAGTTGCTAGATTAGCTACCTGAGAGAGTAGAAATTAGAGTTGAATATTCAGCTGCTGAATAACCTTTTTATTCTCATATTTTGCTTACTTGTAACTATAGTATCTGAAATAGTAGTATTTAAGCTCTGTATAATGTTTAATCAGATTTAACATCTAGTTCTGGTCAACACAAGAGAGAAAAGAAATAGAATCTTGTATAGCAAGAAGATAATTAGTTATATTCTTAATAAACACTGATTAAGAGGAAATTTCTTATTTAGCTAGATCTAGAATTTATTAAACTAGCTGATTCTCTTCAGACTCAGTTAATTTGATTAAATTTATATGTAAACTAATTTGTACATGTTTCTCTTTTGCTTGATAATATAAGATAATGTAAGACATATTAAATAGCCATGTAGCTTCAGCAATTAACCTAATTTCTTGCTTTTTAAGAGTAGAAATAGCAAGTTCCATCCTGCTCTCTATTTCTATAGAGAATGTTGTATTTTTATTATAGATTAGTAGTATTCTAATATGTTGAAGTAGATAGTTAAGAAAGTTGAAAAAATATCTTTTGCTTACTTGCAGATTTCACTTGCTTGTGAATTACATAAGCAATTCATGTGCTTATTTAATTTCTTGTATTTCTTACTTTTTTAATAAAAGAGCATCTAATATTACCTTAATATACTTGAATTTCTTAACAAAATTATGTATTTAATATATAATAACTTAACAAATTTTTCTTAGTAGTTTGTATAGTTACCAACTGCATAACTTATAAGACTATAATAAATTATTATTATTATATATTATTATTATTACTTATTAATTCAAGATAGTATAAGCTAGAATTAAGATTTTAATTTATAAGTCTCTGAATAGCAGCTTAACTATTAGAAAAAATCAAGATATCTAATAATCTTGATTAAGATTGAGAGATAGAACTTGCTAACTTAAATACTTTAGCAAATAGTTCTGCATCAAAAAATTTAAGATATTTAACTAGATTATATGAGAACCTAATATTATTTTGTAGATTCTATACACCAGCACCAGTATATTGATATTTTTCAGCTTTTAATTTATCTGAATAAAGAATTAAAGATTTATTATCTAGATCTTTAATTTTATTTATGTGAATATCTTTATCTGTTTCTTTATCTGACTTTTCAATTTGAATATCTATCAAATCAGGTAATTTTTCTGACCAAGGTGCATTTTATTTTTCTTTGATTCTTTCAGTTTTTAAAAAAGGTAATGTTGTTAAAATCATTGAGCAAATTCTGAATAGTTGACTTTGATTATTGAAATTATAGTTGTTGGATTAGTGAGAAATGTTAATTACTAGTCTTGGTAAAGACTTCTGGGAGACTAGTGGGGACTGGGCTGCACTTTGTAAATTGCTATCCTGCTACTCCACCTTTTCCTTCCTTTTCAAAGGCCTGAGTAATTCTTTCTGCCTTAGAAATCTATCCATTTTTATCATCTCTACTGACCTGCTTTCTTTCCTAAGTTGGTGCACTTTTTCTTTTATCCTCTCTTTAAATGCCTTGCGGCTTGGCTATGAAACAAAGTCACTTTGGAGCTCTTTTGTACTAACATCATACATGGTCTAAAAGTGACACGCTCCCGAAAACTTCAAGGAGGTGAAGAGCACCTGCCTCGTTACTTTGCAAAAAATGGGTTTGTTGATGCCGACCCAAAGAAGACAAAGAAAGATGGTGGTGGCAAGGCCAATTGGTGAGAAATCTTATGTGTAGCATAGAATTCTACTGTTGCTGATACTAGTGAAGGGGTAGGTCTGGAGAGGAGGTGCATGATTATGGCTATACATTTGCAAATGCTCGGCGTCGCTCAAACAGCAGCAACCAAGCACTTGAAGATTTTAAAACTAAATTTGAAGCTATCGAACACGATCCCGTCTTCGAAGAAGACATTCATGGACCAGAGCAAACAGATACGGAAACCTGTGAGTTGAAGGATCAAAATTCGGGACAATGTGTCAGTATTGTGGGCAGGTTGCACTCGGATACCGAGAAGCGAAAGGGGCCATAGATGCATTATCCTAGCCTGATCCGTTGAGATTTGCTGAGGACTGTTTAGTGAAATTCCCAAGCCATGTAATGTTCTAATGGCGCAAGCTGGAGGGTCTCAAGCAGGGTTCGTAGCTGCATATTTCATGCAAGCTAAGGAGTAGCTGAAGAGAAATGTCTTTGACTGATCCCCTAAATTTCTCATTGCTAGCCTGCAAAATCTAGACTCGCAAATATTAGTTTCTACTTCACGACCAGGAACAGGGAACACAAATGTTGCAGCTTCTACAGGAGCCCAATGTATGCATTTGCCTTAACTCTCCATATGGCTTGTTAATCCGGCGACTTTGTAAACATTGCAATTTCGAAAAGAACTGTGTACCAATAAAGTGCTCCAATGCTTCAACAAGCTCCACCAGCGTGCTTGCTCTTAAAGTAGCCTGCTGGATGGTAGCTGAAACAATAACTGACTGGACAGTCTATAATTTTCTGAAAAAATAGATGTATGCGAATTGCTTCATCTCCTCAATATCACCACCTTGAACAACCTTTTCATCATTGAAAAGAACCCATTGGCTGTCTTCATCCTGGGCAACTTCTTTTCGGACAAATGCAACATAGTGACTAGGATATGTCAGATCAGTACTTTCGGAAGAATATGCGCTTACTTACCCAGTATGAACTGAGACACCTTTGTGGCAGATGATGGCGTGTAATTGAAAGAGAGCAGGTATATCACTAGATCCTTGCAACTGCGCTGGGGATCCACTGCTTACTTGATATCCCTCGATCTCCGCGTCATACGGATGACTTAAAACCCAATCCAACGCCCTGTTGATATCTCCATCCGTTTCAAGGAGCGCTTTCCGAGCTTTCGGGCGATCAATGCCCATGTCAATTAGTTGACCAATCTTTGCTTCGTCTTCATGTGAACAGTGATTCCCACCGCTACCTGGTGGTGCGGAAATGTCCGTCGCATCGATATCCGGATCATCCATATGTGAAAGCAACCAATTCAACGCGGCATCCGTATCCGTATTTCCTGTGGCATAGAGTGCCTTTTTGATCCGAATCTCAGGAAACCCCATACTGAGAAGCATGGCAACCGCTGCTTCATTGGGTTGAAACTCGATATCTAGGGGTGAGGGCTCATCTTCTAATAAAATTTCGCCTGCCTGAATGCCAAGCGAGCGATATTGGCTGAGATCCAAGGGTTCGTCACTCACTTCGACGGGGATATTAAGTTTAGTTGGCACCCAGTTGATCAGTTCAAACCGTCTAGCGTTAATAATCAAGTTTTGCGGAAATGTCTTGAAGAGCGATCGCTTTCGGAAGCCCTTCTTGCTTTCGCACCCAGAACACGTTAACTCGACAATTTCTTCTGCAGTAAAAATATCGAGGCATTCCCTGAGAGAGACACGGTCAAATTTCGAAGATACCGGTGTTTCTCCGCTTGCGCAACTCTCAGCATCATTGTCTTCTTTCAAGCGACGAATTGGCACAGGAACAGAAATATTATCCTGTTCGTCAATTTTATATCGCACCTTTCCACATGATAGGCATTGTAACCGCTGCTCCAAATTAAAACGAAAAGATGCAACTGGATTGGGAGTGTCATAATGTTTATTGACATTTATAAGTTTAAAAAGGTGCAGAAGAAATTCAAACGCATCTTGCTGGCGCATTGTCGAAAATTCATCATGACCGCGACCAATTAAATGTTTTAGCATTCCTGGAGCTAGCCCTAACTGATGAGGTAGGTCTTGACAGCCCGTGTGGGCCACCGTATCGGAGTTTGGGACAGAGTAACGGCCTGAAATAAGCCCATCGGCTATTTTCCTTAGTTGAGTTTCGAGATCCTCCGCCGGTAAAGGTACTACTGGAGGAAGCTCTTGTGGTTTAAAATATCGGTATTCAAACTCCGGTAGGGAGAACAAGCACTGGAGAGCACTGGCAAGGTAGCAACTGTTGCCGAGGTTTCGCAAGCCGGTGAGTCCTGGCCCAAAGATAGGCTTTAGGTCCATCCCATCGCTTGAAGTCATTGTAAACTCCCATTTAAGGTTTTGCTCAATCTGCATTTCCGTGAGACTTTTCTCGGTTTTTTTCTGCTCAGTGATCATAATTCCCCAGTGTGCTAGGTGCAAAGCTAGATCCGGGTCAATTCGTTCCTCATTGCAGGCATAACAGAATACATCAGCAGACCCCTCAGGAGAGATCGAATTTAACTTGACCGAGACAGAATGTGTCAAATTAGAAGCATGTGCAAGTGCATGGGAATTGCCTCCCATGCCTCCAAACTGACTGCGACCACAGCCAACATTGCCACATTGTAAGCATAGCCAAAGATTTTCTTGCATGGAACACTGAGAACAATGAGAAAATTCTGCGGAATATTCAGAATAACTTCCCGAATAAAAGCCACGTGGGAATCGTTAAACATACTGTTAAGTTGCATTAAACTAGCATCATCCTGGGTGAGACACAGGATATGTTCACATGATGTAAGTTCAAGCTCCCATGCCTTTACTTCTTCCTTGCGAGAGAATGTGAGGGTGTTCATGACACCATCTATCACATCCTGCAACACTGGGATAGAAGAGATATCAACATCATCATTGTGGCAATCATAACATATTACTTTGATAGTGGTGTTATAATGATCTTCTTCTCTTAAGGGCTTGATCGCTAATTTCGATATTTTAGGGGGAGGTTCATCACGCTATAGCGCGCAAGGAGTTAGCCAAAGCCAGATTAACAAAATCTGTAAACAGTGTACAAAGATATCAAGTATGACCAGACCTGTATTGGCTTGCGCGTTCTCCTAATATTTAGGGCCAATGGGTGCTGACAGCGAGCATGGTGAAGGGCAGCATGATCTCTGTTCCCCGTACAACCTCCATTAAAGCAGCTGAGGCAGACATTCAGCCCAGATGGATCGTCCTGTAGTCCTTGTTAATAATGCATCAGGGCGACCATATGTGGTCCATGCGTACTATAGAGTCAAAACATTGGGTGCAATCTTCCCGATATACAGATTGGCTGTTTCTGGGAGGTTGCAGCCCTGCCGAATCCACATGCGGGCACACCATGCTTTTGCTAGAAGTTAACAAAGCCTTGAGATATAGCAAGAGAATGAAATGGGATAACTATTATGATCCCAACTGCGGTAAAAAAAGCTAAACCACAAGGGCTGAGGTATGAGGGGGTTGTTGGAAGCCAAGAGCGGAGCACGAAGTCAGGTTGTCATTGATTAATATGTAGGTAATTATGAAGGTATGAAGTATGGTGTAACTAACTAGTGCTTAGCGGGGGTGGCAGGTTGCGGCGGGTTACGACCCGGGCGCGCCATGTAAATGCATGATTGATTGATTGATTATGTCATCCACAGTCCCAGCTGCTTTGTCAGCAGCTATGCGGGTGTAACTTTGTGTGATTGCCAGCTCAGTGTGCTCTAAATACAAAATAAACAAACACAACAGCAAGCAAAATAAATAAACACAAAAACAAGCAAACTAAACAAATACAATAATATAAATACAGGTTTTTTATCCCATTCTTTATAACCCTAAAAGCAGTAGGTGTTGAAAAGCAAGAAATAAAATATAAATAAAAATGCAGATAGATTCTTAATACTATTATAGCTGATATATTCTGAATACTATGTATTTCTGCTGCTGCATTATTTACTCTGTATTACTTTTTAAAAAGACTTATTACTTTACTAACTCTATATTAGTGTGTCAGAACTGTTCAAGTAATTCAGTCTTTATTACAAATCTTGCTATTTTGATGCTTAGACTTTGCTGTAAGAGTATTATTCTTAGATTTATTATTCTTCTCTTCTCTTTCTACAGCATGTTCTCTCTGAGCTGACAGTATATTAAGCAGTTAATTAAAATATATTTTACTGATTAAGTCTGTTAATTACATTTTTTTATTCTCTATACTCAAGATCTATATTCTTGTTAGAAATTGCTTTAGGTCTATATTTTTAATCTACATCTGGATTAGAAGAAATAATAGTGGTTTTATTAGATTTATGTAAATCTTGAAAATATTCTTGGTTGATTTTGATGCTATACTATAGAGAATTCAGCCAGTGCTTTTATTTTGCTAATTCTTTTCTCATATATTATTATATGCACTGTGATTTTTCTCTTTATACAAACTAATAATATTTTAAAGTGTGATATTTTCTTAGCTGTATAATGTATATTAAGTTAATTCTTCTGTTTCTTGTAGCCAGGTGGCTTACTGGTAAATAAGCTGCAGGTGCATTCTAGTATGTGGGGTTTGAATTCTTCAACTAGTATACTTTTTTACCCATTAAGGTTGTGGTGTAAAAGATAATACATGTATGCTCATAGCTCTACTAAGCTACTTACTATCTTTTACCTAATAATAACTAATGATCTAGGTAAAGATAGTGAGTCCACCTAGCATCTGGTAAAGTTAAAATAAATGCAAGTAGGTAGTCTTCACTACACTACTAAAAGCTACTTACTATCTTTATTTAATGATAACTAATAATTGGGTAAAAGTAGTAAGTCTATCTAGTATCTAGTGAAGTTAAAATGAATGCAAGTAAGTAGACTCCACTGCACTACTAAAAGCTACTCCACCTAGTAATCTAATAATAAATAATAATTGGATAACTAAGTGGAGGTGCTAATTCAGGGGAAATGGATTTGAAAACTACTCAACAATGGCACTCCTGGTTATCTCTAGAGATACTTGATTATCTCCAGAGATAATTGGTTAATCATTTATATGGTAAGACTGTGATGGCTAATTGGTAGGCAGGAATACTAAGATTAGCAACTGGAAAGCAGGGTTTAGTAGCTAGTAGACCTAGCTAGCTTCTAGAGCTAGTTACTAGATCAGTAGGCTAGGCAGTAGTAGCTTAACTAGAATCAGAATAGTTAATGCTAGCTTGAGAGAATAGTTTGTAGTAGTTGATTATTATAGGCATATATATAATAGCTTAAGGTGTATCTCTCTGTGTTTGCATTCCCTACAAGCCTAGTTGACCCTTAGATAGATCTTAGAGAACTCCAGAGCTGGGGTAGCTGTAGGGTCAAGAGCAAGATATCAGCTGCTGAAAGAGTTCTTAATCAAATAATTAAACTTTTAAATACTGAAAAGGTCTTACCTTTCAAGTTATAAAACAACTTTATATAGCTTGTATTACCTCAGTAGCTGATTATGATGTTCAGATCTGGTGGAAGAATTAAAAAAATCTACTTAATAAGTATGAAAAACTTCAAAAGTCTGCTTTAAGAAAGATTCTAGAAGCTTTTAAAACTTTTTCAATTTATGCTATAGAGATTAAAGCTGCTATTCCTCCTGCCAAAGTAAGATTTAATAGCCTATATAGAAAGTCAAGACTTTTAATCTTTGTAAGTATTGGTTTATCTGTATTGTTATGAATCTTGCAGCACAGCAGCCAGAGACACAGGATGATTGAACAAGATCTGACAAGATGAAGTCACAGATTGTTGAGAAGAAATCTTAGAATGAGAAGTCATATAATCAGTGATAGAACTGATAAGCTGACTAATTACACTGAGTGTGATAGAACTGATTGAAGAATATAGCAAGTGTACTATAATAGAATAAATAGAACAGCTTAGCAGAACTATCACTAGAAAGCATCATATATATAAGAATGCTTATTATCAGAGATCTGATGAACTTGTTTATTATAATTAACTTTTCTTACTATCTTACAGATATTTTTGAATCAGATACTTTCATATCTTGATTACTTTTCATATTATTAAAATCTTATAATACTGTATGATTATATCTGATCTTGCTACTCTTGAGAAGATATGATAGTCTTGCTCTGACTCTGATATATCTATATGGAAACTCTTTATCATCAGAGTAAGACTGCCCACTTAACTAGAGTATTATTGAATTATTAATTACTATCTCCAATCTATTGTTACTCTCTTTAAGCTTTTTGATATTTTTCAAACTCTAAAGAATTCAGAGAGATTTCCAGTCACATACAAGATATTGATTATCTCTGACTCAGAAGAGAATATATTTGAGACTTTAAAGATTATATATAAAGAAAGAACTTTCTGTATCACATTAAAGTATAAAGATATGACCCCTATCTCATATCAAGATCTAATAAAATATAGAAACTATATCTGCATTCAAAGCACCAGCTATCAATACTCAAGATCTTATAAATAGAATCTTGCAGCTTGAACAGATTACTGAAAAGCTTGGAAAGTAGAATTATAAATTAAAAAATTATAATAAGTAGCTTGAGGCCCAGGTCATGACTATTCTATTTATCAGACAACAGAAAAAGAAAGATAAAGTTAAAGTTAATTCACTAAAATTCTTCAAGAGCAAACAAGAAAAATTATAAGCTTTCTTGAGATAACTGTGCATCTATATAGATATGAAAGACAAAGAACTTAGCAATAATAAGAACAAGATAATAATAGCAGTATCATATCTTTGTGGAGCAGTATTTGATTGATTCAACACCTATCTGTGGAATTATTATAAAAAAAATAAAGTTAATCAGAATAATAATATACTTAAGATTATTAATAATTATGACATCTTTAGTCAGATATTGAAAATCACTTTTAAAGAAGTTGAGAAATGAAATATGATAGCTCAGCAGTTACATTATATATAATAAAAGACATTATTACAAGACTATATTATAAGATTCCAGCAAGTCTGTGTTAATACTGATTAGAATAATAAGATTTTAGCTGACACTTTTTATCAAGAACTATTTGATGAGATTAAAGATGAAATAATATAATTGAAGAAATAATCATGCACTCTAATCAAGATAATTAAAGTGACAGTCAGAATTAAAAACTGACTTTACAAATAAAAAATAAAAAAGCAAGAAAAAGTATTATAAAAGTGATTTAGTTTACTGAACCATACTGAAAGTTGAGGCTGGAACAAACATGTACAACTGAATCTCTATAGATACATATTCATAAAGCTGGACACAACAAAAGTTAACATACTTGATAAGAAAGAAAAAGAATGAAAAAAGAAAGAGAAATTATATTTTTATTATGCTAAGCTAGAACATCAAGCAAAGCAATGCAGAATAAAGAAAGCAGATTAAAGAGACAAGAAACTTAGAGTAATCTCAAAAAAAATAGAGAAAACTCTGAAGTTCAACAATATCTCTAAGTGATAACTCAGAAAGAGCAAACTGAAGAAGAACTTTAACAGTAGTTTAGAGAGATATTTGAAGAATAAGTTATGAAAGTCTATCTGAAGCTACCCCAGCAGCTGAAAGATGAATTAAAATGCTGAAACCAGCTAGATGATAAAAAATAAGAGTTATGTAAAGAATTATGTGTAAGAATAAGAAGTAAATCAAGTGATGATTAAGAAATTTGACCACTTGACTGCAAATACCACTACAAACAGAAAATAAATGAAATTCAAAACTCAAAATACAAGAAACATGCTTAATATCTAATCTATAAATGTTTATATAAGCTTCACCAAAGACAATAAGAAGAGTTTGAATGATGAACATGGATTATAAAAGACTTCATGTATCATAAAGACTATAGTTATAATATTAAAGATTGCCAGTATTACAGATGTGATACTGAGAAAGAAGAATAAGAAATGCCAGATCTACAGAACATTTTATTCATGAAACACTTGAATTATACCAGAATTCATTGGAGCTTTTGCTATAATAATAATTATTCTATTTACAGAGATGGAAAGAATGATGAATACTATTTATAATTATTGAAGAAGTTGCAAGTGACCCAGAAATAAGACAACAGTAATAATGAAAAATATTAATTAAGTAAAGAACAGATAACTACACCAAAGCTGAAGAAAGAATCAAGTTGAAAAATATTAGAATTTGAGAAATATAAAGAGAATATCTTGAAGAAACTCAGTCTTATGAAAAGTGTGACATCTGAAAAAGTAAAATACTCAATAGCAAGAATATTATGAATCTGAGATAACTAATTACACTGAACCACATGTAAAGAAGAGAATAGATTATTAGTAATAATAACATGTGAACAGCACTGGAATAAAAAACAGAAAGAGATAAAAGAACTGAATCACTTATATTATAATAAATTTAAGTATGAATACCAATATAAATTTCATAAAGACAAGAGATTTTGAAAAATAATGAGATTTCTGCATGATTTAAAAGAATGTGAAAACTGTACAGAATG